AGTGCCTTGGTGAAGATATCAGCAGTGTTGGCCCGAGAGGCCACGTAAACAAGACGAAGCTAACCACACTGCTGCAGCTCAGGAGCAAGGAAGTAGTGCAGAGCGATGTGCTTCGTCCTATGCTCCAGTCTGTGCTCCTGACACAAGGCAATCATGGCCTTGTTGACGACGTACAGAACTGGAGGAGAACGAGGCGGCTCTCCCAAGTCGGTCAGCAGGTAGGTGAGCCAGCGTAACTCCTGTGTAGCCATGGCCCCTGCGTAGATCTCAGCCTCACAACTGGAACTGAGAACAGAAGACGAGCGGGCAGACCGCCAAAAAACAGAGCCGGAGCCAAGGCTGAAAGTGTAACCCTGTGATGACCGCTGCGTAGCCAAGTCGTCAACCCAAGAGGCGTCTGCGTGTCCAGTGAGGACAACTGGACCCCGTCCTCCAAGCACGAGCCCCATGCCCGACGTACTGCACAAGTAGCGCATCACCCTCTTAGCGGCCTTCCAGTGCTCTGGTAGGTGTCTCTCGGGCGCAACGTAGCATGCCATGATGCTAAGAGGGTAAGCAAGGTCAGGTCGAGTGCATGTCATCAGGTACATGAGGCAGCCCACAAGCTCTGGATACGGGCCACTCGGCTCTACGGACTCGTCCGAAGGTAGAGCTGAGAGCGAGTGACCGGTAGGCAGAGGAGTGGACTGTGGCGAGGAGTACTGGAAGTCAAAGCGCTGAAGGACCTGCTGCACCATGTGTGACTGAGTCAAGGTAATGGTGCGCCGTGCTCTGTCCCGGGTGATCTGCAAGCCAAGATAGCTGCGCAGCTCACCCAGGTCAGTGCACGTGTGTTTCTTCTGAAGCTCCAACTTCACTTGGGGCAGTCCCTCAGTGTCAGCAGTGGCAAGGACCAAGTCGTCGACGTACACGAGGATGTAGAACGGCGGCAGCGAAGTGTCGGTGCGTAGAAACAGCGACGGGTCAGCAGTAGAAGGAGCAAACCCAAGAGCCGCAAGCGTCGTCCTCAGTGTGTCGTGCCACTCGCGAGGCGCCTGGCGGAGACCGTAGACTGGCCGCCGGAGGCTCCACTGGGTACCTGCAGGAAACGACCCAGTAAAGCCAGGTGGGCGGCGCAGCCAGATCTCCTCGTGCAGGCTGCCCTGTAAGAAAGCTGTGCTGAAGTCAAGAGAGTGAAGCTCGTAGTCACGCTGGGCGGCGACTGTCAAACATTATACATGTTTATACTGTGTAGGCTATAGTGGGTTTAGCCTTAGGGGGTACAACATTGCTAGGGTTTCCTACTTGTATCACCCTGCTGCCTAGTTCATTCATTCTCGTTCAGTTCTACATTCTAACATGGTATCAGAGCGATGTGCTTCGTTCTGTGCTCCAGTCTGTGCTCCTGACACAAGGCAATGGCGGCCTTGTTGTCGACGTACAGCACTGGAGGAGAACGAGGCCGCTCTCCCAGGTCGGTCAGCAGGTAGGTGAGCCAGCGTAACTCCTGTGCAGCCATGGCTGTGGCGTAGATCTCAGCCTCACAACTGGAGCTGAGAACTGAAGACGAGCGTGTAGAACGCCAAGAAACTGAACCAGAGCCAAGGCTGAAGGTGTAACCCTGAGACGACCGCTGCGTAGCCTGGTCGTCAGCCCAAGAAGCGTCTGAGTGCCCAGTGAGGACAACGTCGCTCCGTCCTCCAAGCACAAGCCCCATGCCCGACGTACTGCACAAGTAGCGCAACACCCTCTTAGCGGCATCCATGTGCTCCTTCCGGTGATGGCCAGGAGCGACATAGCGTGCTAGGATGCTAAGAGGGTATGCAAGGTCAGGTCGAGTGCAGGTCATCAGGTACATGAGGCAGCCCACAAGCTCTGGATACGGGCCACTCGGCTCTACGGACTCATCCGAAGGCAGAGCTGAGAGCGAGTGACCGGTAGGCAGAGGAGTGGACTGAGGCGAGGAGTACGTGAAGCGGAAGCGCTGAAGGACCTGCTGCACCATGTGTGAACTGGTCTTGTGACCGCTTGCTTGTGCTCGGAATTTGTGTGGTTTCCTTGAGATCCACCCTGAGCTTGCTTTGCTTTGACTGGTCTTGTGACCATCTGGTTGTCCCCCACTTCGCCTATGGGGGTGTGTCAAACATTATACATGTTTATACTGTGTAGGCTATAGTGGGTTTAGCCTTAGGGGGTACAACATTGCTAGGGTTTCCTACTTGTATCACCCTGCTGCCTAGTTCATTCATTCTCGTTCAGTTCTACATTCTAACAGCGACGTGCAGCAGCACCCGAAGAGTGGTCATCTTTGGGGTAGGGGAGAAGGTCTGGAAGAAGTCAACTCCCTGTCGCTGACTGAAGCCTCGTGCAACGTAACGCGCCTTGAAGACAGGCGGAGAACCCTGCGGCCGCTTCACCCTGAAAATCCACATGCCACTGACGATGTTCGCCCCAGGTGGGGGAACCTCGTCGACGTAAGTGCCTGTGGGCTTCCAGGATGCCATCTCTGCGTCCATGGCTGTCTGCCACTGAGAGGTGTAGGGACCCTCAATTGCCTCTGCGTAAGAGCGCGGGGTCGGGATGTCTGGTGCATCCGGGTCTCCCTCAGGTGCAATCAGCATGGAGACGAGATGAGGTACAGCAGCTGCAAAACACTCAAAGTCCTCCTTCCTGTCCTCAAGGACGTCCGTGCCAAGAGCACACTCACCCCCGACGGACGGAGGACAGACAGACACAGACTCAGCAACAAGACTAGTGGCGTAGTCAAGGCGACAGGCGGCAGCAAAGTCAACAAGCTCAGCAACTAGGGCAGACGCAGCAGTGGTTTCAAACGAAGGGTCAGTGACAACAGTGGCTAGAAGACGAGTGACAGTAGGACTGGCAGCACGAGTAAGGTCGGACGACGGGTCAGGAACATCAGGAAGAGAGGACGCAGGAGGAGACGGCAGAGGGACACGCTGTGGACCAGAGGAAGGACGAAGTGCCATCTGGTGCGTGCGAGGGACAGGAGGAGGGCGCTGACGCGGAACACGACGACCAGTGCGAACAGCGCGAACAGGCGACGCAGGACGAGACGCAGGCTCACGGCGCTATGTAAGACTTCCTGTCTGCTCAGTGTAAGGAGAAGGAGCAGGCAGTGGGGAGGTTGGGTGTAACTGCGACTGCGACTGGTCGGGCGGTGGACACAGTAAGGGAGGAGTAAGGCCAGTAGAGGACGGGAGACCAAGAACCTGCTGAAGTAGTGGAACGAAGTACGGTCGCGGCCGCATAGTGCCTCCAGAACCAGCACCGACAGCACTAGCACCCCCAGGGCCAGCACCTCCAGCTCCAACTCTAGCAGCACCACCAGCTCCAGCTCCAATGCCTCCAGCTCCAACGCCTGCAGCACCTCCAACTCCAGCAGCTCCAGCACCTCCAGCAGCTCCAGTACCTCCAGTACGAGCACCTCCAGGACTAGCAGCTCAAGTACCTCCAGCAGCTGCAGCTCCAGCTCCTCCAGCTCCAACGCCTGCAGCACCTCCAGCTCCAGCAGCTCCAGTACCTCCAGTACGAGCACCTCCGGGACCAGCGGCTCCAGCACCTCCAGCTGCTCCAGCTCCAGCGCCTCCAGCACCTCCAGCTCCAGCAGCTCCAGCACCTGCAGCACCATCAGCTCCAGCAGCTCCAGTACCACCAGTACGAGCACCTCCGGGACTAGCAACTCCAGCACCTCCAGCAGCTCCAGCTCCAGCAGTTCCAGCACCTGTAGCACCTCCAGCTCCAGCAGCTCCAGTACCTCCGGTACGAGCACCTCCGGGAACAGTGGCTCCAGCACCTCCAGCAGCTCCAGCATCAGCAGCTCCAGGGCCTCCAGCTGCAAGGCCTCCAGCGGCAGGCCCCCCAGCTCCAGCAGCGCCACTCTGAAGACTCCAGCGCCGAGCAAACCACTCGCGCAGCTGCGGTGGAGAGAGAGGCTCCCGGAGAACCACCAGTACCTCCAGCACCTCCAGGACCAGCAGCTCCAGCACCTCCGGTACCTCCAGCCGCAGCGCCTCCAGCTCCAGTGTCTCCTGCGGCAGGCCCCCCAGCTCTAGCAGCGTCACTCCGAAGGCTCCAGCGCCAAGCAAACCACTCGCGCAGCTGCGGTGGAGAGAGAGTCTCCCGCCGTGACGAGGCACACGGAGAACCTCCAGTAGACAAAGTACCTCCAGGCGCAGCACGCTTAGGCTCAGCACCCCCAGGCTCCGCACGCTCATGCTCAGAACCCCCAGGCTCCGCACCCTCAGACTCAGCAACCCCAGGCTCAGCACCCCCAGGCCCCGCACGCTCAGGCTCAGCACCCCCAGACGCAGCACCCCTTGCAGCACCACCCCCAGCAGAAAGTAGCGCTCGCGGCCCTGTCCACGGACGCGAACTGGGCCCCACACGTCCATGTGGAGAGTCTGCAGTGGAGCAGTCGTCGGGGGAAACGAGGAGGAGTGAGGAGTGGCGCGCTGCCACCCCTCGACACAGGGAAGGCAGGGAGGGGCAGGCGAGGGTGGGAGGGGAGGCAGAGACCTGGGAAGACCAGAGACAAGGAGACGGGAGTGCATGCCACGGAGGCGTGGCACGGAGGGGTGACAAAGAGACAAAGGAGACACGGAGACAAGAGACAAAGGAGCGTCCGGTGCGACAGGGCACGACACGAGCAGGGGGCCGCTAGCTGACCTGACGCAGACGCAGACGCAGCTACCTGGGGAGGCTCAGTAGACAGTGTGTAGAGACTCGACCCAGGCCGACGGGTGAACGTGGCCAGGTGACGGCCAATCCGGGAGCACTTGCAGATCGCCACACGCTGTCCGCCAGGGGTGAAGGTATCAACCCATTCATCCTGAAGGATGGCGTTGCTCACCAAGTTCGTAGAGAACGAGGGGAGGTGAAGACCTGACAGTGAGCCAGACGGAACCGCCGGACACGGGAGAACAGTGGAGGAACGTGCAAGAACTGGGCCCCCAGAGGGGTCAGCCAGAGAGACTGCAACAGGTGCAGGGAGTGGTGTGACTATGGTACTGTCGCGAAAGAAACAGCGGGAAGCACCTGAGTCAAGCGTGAAGGTGTGCAAGGCCGCAGCAGGCGCAGTACCAGAGAGAGCAAACTCACTAGCACCTAGAGCTGCAGCCTCTATACCTGGGTCGGGTGGCACACACAGGTAACAGTCACCCTCAGCACTAACAGTCAATGCATACATGGCAGTGATGATAGCATCATAGTCAAGAGCAAAGATATCCACCCTCTGCCTAAGCAGCTCCAGCCAGCGGGAGAGCTCAGTCGCGTCGCCAAACTCTGCACGCCAGGCGTCGCTCAGACTGGCGAAGCAGCGGGACTGTGTGTGACCAAGTGTCCCGCAAGTCTGACCAGCCCGATCACCTGTGCGAATGACGTACGGGCAGCGAGCAGTACTCTGAGACCCCCCACTCTGAGCGTACCACTCACGAAGCTGTTGGGGCGTAAGGGTCTCGCGCGGACGCCGCTGCTGCTGCATCTGGCCACAGCCAGAAACTCCCGACTGAAACAGCTCCACGGCGACTGCCACTACGGCCGCCGCCACTACTCCAACAGCGTACCACTCACGAAGCTGCTGGGGCGTGAGGGACTCGCGCGGACGTCGCTGGAGCTGCATTTGGCCACCGCCAGAAACTCCCCACCGAACAGCTCCACCGAGACTGCCACCACGGTAGCCGCCACCTTTCCCACTCCTGCCACCACCGCGGCCACCACTCCAACCGCTACCACGAATAGACGTCATAGCGGGCAAAGGAAGGAGATGTGCGACCAGCACGGCAACACGCAGGGAAGGCAGGGCGGCGAGCAGGCACTAGGGTAGGTCGGGGCGGCGCACGGTCAGGGAAGGGCGGCACGCGGCCAGAGTAGGGCGGCGCACTGCAAGCAGAGTCGGCGCGCGGGCACCAGGGCGGTGCACGGGCTGCAGAGGGCGGCGCGCGGGCAGGCGGGGGCGGCACCTAGTGCTCTTTTTTTTTTTTTTTTTTTTTTTTTTTGTAGGGTTTAGCAGGGCGCGCTGGGCGCTGGGCAGCAGGGCGCGCTGGCGCGCTGGGCAGCGGGGCGCGCTGGCGCGCTGGGCAGCGGGGCGCACTTGCGCGCTGGGCAGCGGGGCGCGCTAGCGCGCTGGGCAGCGGGGCGCGCTGGCGCGCTGGGCAGCGGGGCGCGCTGGCGCGCTGGGCAGCAAGGCGCGCTGGCGCGCTGGGCAGCGGGGCGCACTGGCGCGCTGGGCAGCGGGGCGCGCTGGCGCGTCTGGCAGCAGGGCGCGCTTTTGCGATGGGCAGCAGGGCGCGCTGGGCAGCGGGGCGCGCTGGCGCGCTGGGCAGCTGGGCCCGCTGGCGCACTGGGCAGCGGGGCGTGCTGGCGCGCTGGGCAGCGGGGCGCGCTGGCGCGCTGGGCAGCGGGGCGCGCTGGGCAGCGGGGCGCGTCTGGCAGCAGGGCGCGCTAGCGCGATGGTCAGCAGGGCGCGCTGGCGCGCTGGGCAGCGGGGCGCGCTGGCGCGCTGGGCAGTGGGGCGCGCTGGCCTGCAGGGGCGGCGCGCGGGATGCAAGGGCGACGCGCGAGCTGCAGGGGCGGCGCGCGGGCTGCAGGGGCGGCACGACGGGGGCAGGGCAGGGCGTGCGTGGGGCAGCGCGACGCGGGACAGGGCAGGGCGTGCGCGGGGCAGCGCGATGCGGAGCAGGGCAGGGCGTGCGCGGGGCAGCGCGACGCGGGGCAGGGCAGGGCGTGCGCGGGGCAGCGCGACGCGGGGCAGGGCGTGCACGGGCAGTGTGACGCAAGGCAGGGCAGGGCAGGGCGTTCGTTGACGGCGCAGCGCAGGGCAGGGCGTGAGATAGCGCGGTAACCGCAGTCGGTCACTAGCTAATGGTGGGCCCGAAAAAAAAACGGTCCTACGGATCTACTGCTCTGAAACCGTGTCAGAATACTAAGCGAGGATGAATTGACTAGCAGCAAGATGGGTACAAGTACTAACCCTTATTGGGTTGTACCCCATATGGGCTCCCACTACAGCCTACACAACATATAAGTTTGACAAGAACGTGTTGTCATTCACCTTATCACTGTTGATATGTGTCATTGTTTATCGTTTGTCGTTTGTGTACTTTCGTTGTGTGATGTTACATTGTGTCGGGTCTGCATTTGAGATGGGGATCGTTGTTGGGGCAGCGTTGCTTGCCTTAGCATACCAGAACCATCCTTTGTAGCACCGATGCATTTTAGCATTCATTCGTAGTACGTGCTGTCATTCACCTTATCACTGTTGATACGTATCATCGTTTATCGTTTGTCGTTCGTGTAATTTTATTGTGTGATGTTACATTGTGTCGGGTCTGCATTTGAGATGGGGATCGTTGTTGGGGCAGCGTTGCTTGCCTTAGCATACCAGAACCATCCTTTGTAGCACCGATGCATTTTAGCATTCATTCGTAGTACGTGCTGTCATTCACCTTATCACTGTTGATACGTATCATCGTTTATCGTTTGTCGTTCGTGTAATTTTATTGTGTGATGTTAGATTGTGTCGGGTCTGCATTTGAGATGGGGATCGTTATTGGGGCAGCGTTGCTTGCCTTAGCATAACAGAACCATCTCTTTGGTAGCACCGATGCATTTTAACATTCACTCATAGTATTTGCTGCTTTTCCACGTGTTGGGTTGGGTGGGTGTTGTCTCGTCTATTGTGTTGGGTGTCAAATGTGACGACCCGTTGTTCCATTCGCCGTAGTTATCGACGATTATGAAATGATTTGTCACCTTTGGTTTCGCTTCTTTTGGAGACTCTTATGTATCAGTGCCGTCATCTCCACTCCTTTGGAGCATTCTAATAATAATAAAAAAAATGTCAGAACATTATAGCTTATGCTGTTGTGTAGGCTATAGTGGGGTATCCCATAGGGGGTACAACCAATTAGGGTTTCATATTTGTACTCACTTCATTTTCATAGTTCACTCATTCTCTCGTTCTCATTATCACATGGTATCAGAGCAGGTCCCCTCCTAGGGACTGTTCCTTGGGCCCACCGAAGCGCGCCTCGAGTCGCGCCTGCCTTTTTTTTTTTAGCGACCCGTCGAGTCGCACCTAGCGGCCCGTCGCGCCGCCCTTACGGTCGCGTCGAGCCGCCCTAGCGGCTGCGGCGCGCCGCCCTTTTCCCGGCCCGTCGCCGCCCTTACCCGCGGCTTTGCGCCGCCCTCACCGGCGGCTTCGCGCCGCCCCTACCTGCGGCTTCGCGCCGCCCAGGCCCGTCGCCGCCCTTCCCGCGGCTTCGTGCCGCCTCTACCTGCGGCTTCGAGCCGCCCCGGCCCGTCGCCGCCCTTACCTGCGGCTTCGCGCCGCCTACGGCCCGTCGCCCCCCTTTTCTGCGGCCCCGCCGCCTCTCTCGTTGCGGCCCCGCCGCCCGTCTTCGCGGCCCCGCCGCCATCTCTCGCTGCGGCCCCGCCGCCACTCACTGCGGCCCCGCCACCCGTCTCAGCGGCCCCGCCGCCCGTCTTCGCGGTCCCGCCGCCTCTCTCGCTGCGGCCCCGCCGCCTCTCACTGCGGCCCCGCCGCCCTACTCAGCGGCCCCGCCGCCCGACTTCGCGGCCCCGCCGCTTCTCTCGCTGCGGCCCCGCCGCCTCTCTCGTTGCGGCCCCGCCGCCCTTCACTGCGGCCCCGCCGCTTCTCTGCAGCGGCCCCGCCGCCCGTCTTCGCGGCCCCGCCGCCTCACTACCCAGCGGCCCCGCCGTCCTTCTGCAGCGGCCCCGCCACTCCTCTACAGCGGCCCCGCCGCCCTACGTCAGCGGCCCAGCCGAGCCGCCCAACAGCAGCGCAGCCGAGCCGCCCAGCAGCAGAGCAGCCGAGCCGCCCCGCCGCCGAGCCGCGCTGCAGCCGAGCCGCCCGGCCGCCCACCAGCCGAGCCGCCGTGCAGCCGACCGCCCAGCCGCCGAGCCGCCCAGCCGCCGAGCCGCCCAGCGGCCGAGCCGCCCTGCAGCCGAGCCGCCCAAGCAGCCCTGTCCGGTGAGCACAGACCCTCTGTCACTGCGTGCTCTTCCCCTACTCCTTGCACTGCTGGTCTACTGCTGTCATGGCTACCCCTAGTGTCCTCACTTTTGACGCTGAGGGTCGGGCCATTGACTTTGAGGTCTGGGTAGATGACCTACAGCTGTTCTTACAGTGCGATAGGGCGGACGGCCTCTCTCTCTTTGACCTCACCTCTGGCGCTTCCCCTGCCCCTGCTGCTGATGCTGACGCCACTGTTCGCTCCCAATGGGCCACGCGCGATGCTGCTGCACGTCTTGCTGTGCGTCGCCACCTCCCTACCTCCGAGCGTGCGCACTTTAGTCAGTACAAGAGTGCTCAGACCTTGTACGCCGCTGTAGTCGCGCGCTACTCCTCCCCTTCCACTGCTGCACTGAGCCGTCTCATGCTACCGTACCTCTTCCCTGACCTTGCTTCTTTTCCCACCGTTGCTGACCTCATTACGCACCTCCGCACTAGTGACACTCGCTACCGCGCTGCACTTCCTGCTGACTTCTGCACCGCGAACCCCCCCCCCATGTACATCACTCTGTACTTCCTAGTCACTCGCCTCCCTGACTCCCTTCGAGTAGTCAGGGACCACTTTCTCTCAGTCTGTCCCACCACACTCACTGTAGACCTCCTCGAGAAGGCCCTCCTCGCGATAGAAAAGAGCATAGTCGCTGTAGGAGCCTCTCGAGGTGACCCGCGCACCCCCATCTTTGAGGGGTGTTCTCCCTCCCCCCTGCTGCCCTCTGTTGCCTCTACTGCTTCGGCCGACCTCCTTGGTCTTGAGTCGGTCGGTGCGGCGTCTGCCCCTAGCGGGAGACGCCGCCCTGGCAAGGGCAAGGGGGGCAAGGGAGCTGGAGGAGCGGGCGGTGGAGGTGGAGGTGGAGGCAGTGGGGGGAGTGGGGGTAGCGGTGGAGGTGGAAGTGGGGGTGGGGGGTTCGGTGGCGGCAGTGGAGGCGGAGGCCGCGGCGGCGGTGGCGGTGGTAGCGGAGGTGGCGGAGGAGGCGGCGGTGGAGGAGGCGGTGGAGGCGGCGACGGCAGTGGAGGCAGCGGAGGCGGTGGAGGCGGTGGGGGTGGCGGTGGAGCTGGTCGCGGGTCTTTGCAGAGGAGTGGCTCCGGTGGTGGCTCGCGCCAGCAGCAGCAGCGTGGTCGTGCGACCCTGTCCCCTCAGCAGCTCCGTGAGTGGTACACTGCACGCCAGCGGGGTGGGGGTTTTGGTCCGTGTACCTACGTCCTGCGCACCGGCGACCGTGCGGGTGAGCAGTGTGGGGGTGCGCACCCCACTCCGCGCTGCTTTGGCCGCCTGACGGACGCATGGCGTCACCAGTTCCCGGAGGCCTCCGAGATCCCTCGCTGGGACGAGCTGTTTAGGGCGGGGGTTGCCATCTTTGATCTGGACTTTGATGCTATTCTCTCTGCCATGTATGCTGTGTCTATTAGTGATGAGGGTGACTGTTACCGGTGTTTCCAGCCCGATCCGGGCATTGAGACTGCTGCTCTAGGTACTGGTGAGGCTGCTGCCCTAGGTGCTTACGACGCTGCTGCTCTAGGTGCTGGTGTGTCTGCGTCCTCAGGTACTGGTGAGTCTGCTCTCTCAGGTACCGCGTCGGCTTCGGCCTCCCTCACCTTCACTCTTGACTCTGGGGCGTCTCGCTCCTTCTTTCGGGACCGCACCACACTCACGCCGCTTAGTCGGCCGGTTGCGGTGTCTCTGGCTGACCCCTCTGGGGGTCCGGTCCTGTCTCGTTTCTCCACAGTCCTCCCGTGTCCGGCGGCTCCCTCTGGCACCCTGTCTGGTCTCTACCTCCCCTCGTTCTCGACGAACCTAGTGAGTGGTGCTGACCTACAGGATGCGGGTGTCCACCAGTTCACTCCTGCACGTCAGCGAGTGACCCACTGTACAGAGGCTGGCACAGGCCGACACCTGGCTACGTTCACCCGTCAGCCGGGGTCCAGCTTGTACACTCTGACCACTGCGTCTCCTCCAGTTGCTGAGTCTGGTAGGGTAGTTACGTCGGGTCAGGTGTTTGCTGCGGCGTCCAGGTCTGGTCCTGAGTCTGCCCCCTGTTCGTGTCGTCTCCTGTCTCACGAGACTCTCCTCTGGCACCACCGCCTTGGCCACCCCTCTCTGCTTCGGCTCAGAGGTATGGCCTCCCGTCTTCTTGTGTCCGGTCTCCCCCGGTCCCTCCCTCCCCTTCCTCAGGGCCCTGGCCCTGCCTGTGTCCCCTGTGTCGAGGGGCGCCAGCGTGCTGCCCCTCACTCCTCCCAGTTTCCTTCGACAGAGGCCCCGTTGCAGACACTTCACATGGACGTGTGGGGCCCAGCCCGCGTCCGTGGACAGGGTCACGAGCGCTGCTTCCTGCTCGTTGTTGACGACTACTCGCGTTACACCACAGTCTTCCCCTTGCGCAGCAAGGGTGATGTCACTGAGGTGCTGATCGACT